AAAAAAGCCTTAAAATGCAAACCAGTTCGTACCATTTCCCTCCTTGAAAGTTCTTCAGTAACTTGCAGCGTCTGATAAAATCTCCATAACTTGGAAGGCAGTGCCCATGATTTGGCTCCTGAGCTCTCCTCTCCCTTACACCACTTTAGATCCCAATAGAATCAAAGGGCTTTCTTGGATTTTGAATTTTTATCCACAGAGGTTTCTTGGCTTTCCCTGATGAATACACCAATAATTATCCTTCTTCTTGGCAGCCTTTAATTTCTTCCATTCTCTCCCCATTTATCTGTTATAGTAGAATGAAAGCTTCTTGAGGGAATGACACTGCTTTGCGCATCTTGATATCCTCAATACCTAACTCAAGTCTGGCTCTTTGGAGGTACTAAATAAATGTGAGTTGATTGTCCAATGTTTCCAGATACACTCATCGAGCATCTGAATCTCATCCAATATTCAGACTGCCCCTGTACCTTTGCCCAGGTCCCTATTGCCAGCGTTTTGTCTACCTGAAACTTCTCCTACTTGCCCTATGTTCTAAAACCAAACCAAACCATTGTCAGGAAATCCCAATTCATAGAGATCGTATAGGACAAAGTAGAACTGCCCACAGAGTTCCCAAGGCTGCAATCTTTACAGAGGCAGACTGCCATATCTTTCTCCCAAGGAGAAGCTGGTAGGTTCTGTTAGCAGCCAAGCACTTCACCACTGCTCCACCAGGGATCTTTTACCATGCTCTAAAACTACCTTTAACTTCCATTCACCATCTCATCCTATATCGCCCATAAACATTTCCCTTTATACTGACAAGGAAAGAATTGACACAACCAAGATTTGGGCTTTCAGCGTCCAAAATTGTGAGAAAAGAAATTTCTGTTCTTTAAAGGAAAAAAAAAAAATCAAAATTTTGTTTGCAAGGTTGGCCCTTGGCTGGAGTCTGGGAACTTGGTTTTTGTGAGTGTTCCTATCCTACCTCACCCAGAACTGACTGATAAAAACTTTGCCTAAACTGTTCTGGAGAACTGTTGTTTATGCTGAACACCTGCTTTCACTCTATGAGTTTGAAATTTTAATACATGCTAGGTAGAAGGTGCCTACATGACCAACCCCCAGTTAAAAACTTTGATCAATGAGTCTCTAATGAGCTTCCTTGGCACACAATGTTATCACAACTTGTTGCTGGAAGAATCAAGTATGGCTGTGTTATTCTACTAGGAGATAATTCTGGAAATTTCTGCCGAGTTTCTTCTGGTCTTTAACCCATATGCCTATTCCCTGTGCTGATTTTGCTTTGCAGTTTTTCACTGTAATTTTGTTGTTAAGTGAGGTCGAATCAGTTCTGACTCATAGCTGTGTTGTATAGCGTTTCCAAGGAGCAGCTGGTGGGCTTGAATCTTGAGGTTAGCAGTCCAGTGCTCATCCTACAGAATCATGCCATATTGTTGTTGTTAAATACCATTGAGTCTGTTCCGACCCACAGCGATCCTGTATAGTGTTTCCTAGGAGCGGCTGGTAAGCTTGAACACCATATTAGCAGTTGTTGTTGTTATGTGCTGTGGAGTCGGTTCCGACACATAGTGACCCTGTACAGGGTTTCCGAGGCTGTAAATCTTTATGGCAGAAAGCCTCCTCTTTCTCCCGTGGAACAGTTGGTAGTTTCGAACTGCTGGCCCTGAGGTTAACAGCCCGATTCGTAACCACTACGATACCAAAGCTCCTTATATAAAGTTTAAAAAAACAAAAGAAAGAAAGAAACAAAAAACCCTTTCACCTAGTTGTGTGTGCCCACCTTTTGGTTAGCAGCTGAGTGCTTAGCCACTGTACAACTAGACTGCCTTTGTTTTAGCAAGATTTGAAAAGCAAGTGATCTGTCATATTTTAAGTGGTAAATAGTTGCTGAGAGAAAGGGATTTTTTTTATTAACTCAAACAAATTGCTTTCTGGTAGAGTTTTAGGCAATGGGAGGAAAAAAGGATTTTATCATTCATGGTTTCTCACCATAGTTTTTCCATTTTCTACCTGAAAGTAGCATGCAAGATCTTTTAAAGACAATTTATTAAAATCAAGAAATGCTCAGTGTAACACTTTTAAAACAAAAAGAGACAGGATAGCTATAACTTTTCTTCTATCAGCAATGACTGCTTTCTCCATCCCCACTCCACTGTTACTGATATGCTAAGGGATTTCAGAATTTCATAATTTAACTCAGTAGGGTTCAGCACATTTAGTCTTGATGATCCAACATTTGTTTAATGAATTACAGGAGCAAAACTCTACTCAAGCTAAAAACTGTAGCAGAAAAGCTAGTTTTAACAATCCCTGCCTTACATCGTTACATCGTTAACTCTTATTACTCTGGCTCTCCCCTGCACCCTTCTCCTGCCCCTCCCCCC